CCACGCCCTGTGAGAGAGAGGAGGGGGGAGGGAGATTGAGCCTCAACAGCTCCCCCACGCGGTGGTATACCACCAGGCTGGCATCAATATAGGGGGCAGCACCACGTCCTGTGACAATAGAGGGGGAAGAGAGGAAATGGAACGGACAGAAGAGCCCTGTGAAGGTGGTGCACGCGGTGGTACACCACCACGAGCCCTGTGAAGGTGGTGCACGCGGTGGTACACCACCACGAGCCCTGTGAAGGTGGTGCACGCGGTGGTACACCACCACGAGCCCTGCATCAAAATAGGGGCCCCAGCACAGCGTCCTGAGGCGGTGTGTGGGGAGAGGGGGAGGGACGGGGAGAGGGAGGCTTTCAGGACGGAGATGTTATGGGACTGCTGGTTTTAAGCACACAGCAGCTCCATGCGGTGGTATACCACCACACCAGGTGGGCATTGATGTACGGGACAGGACCGCACGTCACACCCTGTGGAGGCGTAGGGAGGACAAAGGGGAGGTGTGAGGATGGGGAAAGAGGCTCAGCATTGTTTCATTTGCATGACAGGTCACCGCTTCATTTGAGTCACTAAAGGGGAAGTGGTATACGCCGCCATCAGCCAGTAAAGCAGAGTCACTCGAATGGTTAGAAGGTTTAAAAAACAGAGGTGACTTTTGAGCAGAGTCAACCCCTCGTTACTCAAAAGTGAGCAGAGTCACTTGAATTCTTACAAGGTTAAACAAACAGCAGCAGCAGAGCAGCAACGACTACCCCACACACACACCTGGTCCTCTTCTGTGCTCCTTGCCTCATCGTACCAGTAGAACCGAGTCACTCCTGCGTATCGATGGTACTCCAACCACTGCATGGAATATACAAAACAGGAGCAGAAATAGGGCGAGAAAAGGAAGGAAAGAATAGTAACAGAAACAAGGCTCTGTGCTGGCAGGCAGACACGTCACACGGTAAGGGGCTGGACGGAGGGAGATTGACACGTGGTGACTTTAGAGTCGACTCTAAAGTCATTTTGAGTACACCCCCCACGTGCCATACCCACGTGTCACACCCCCCACGTGCCATAACCACGTGCCACACCCCCCACGTGCCACATCCCCCACGTGCCATACCCCCCACGTGCCATACCCATGTGCCACACCCCCCACGTGCCATACCCCCCACGTGCCACACCCCCCACGTGCCATACTCATGTGCCACACTCACCTGCCACACATGCAGCGCCCAGAAGCGAGTGTAGTCCCCATCAAACACGCGGTTATACACCATGCCCGCTATCACCAGCGGCCCTGCCACTGCTTCCCGCACATACTGCTTCGGAAATTCTGAAGCCTTGGGGGCTGCAGCTGCTGCCTGTGATCCTGCTGGCTCATCTGCTGCTGCTGCTGCTGCTGCTGCTGCTGCTGCTGCTGCTGCTGCTGCTGGTGTTAGTGGTGGTGGTGGTGATGATGATGCTGCTCCTGCTGCTGGTGTGGCAGTTTCAATGGAGCCGGGAGGGAGGTGCAGGAATGCTGCACTCGCGTTGAAGGCGTGAGGGTGGAGGCTGGGAGGAGCATGCGAGACAGGGAAAGGAGAAAAGAGAAACGTAAGGGTGCAAGGTGAGTGTGAGCGTCACTGGCGGTTTCGATGGAGGCAGGAGGCAGGTGCAGGAACGCTGCAGTCGATGATGTTGCTGGTTGTTTTTGAGAATGCTAAAAAGCAACCTGCAACATCATTCAAGAACGCTGCAGTCGATGATGTTGCTGGTTGTTTTTGAGAATGCTAAAAAGCAACCTGCAACATCATTCAAGAACGCTGCAGTCGATGATGTTGCTGGTTGTTTTTGAGAATGCTAAAAAGCAACCTGCAACATCATTCAGGAATGCTGCGTCGCGTCGAAGGCGTGAGGGTGGATGGTTCGTCGAGGCTGGGAGGACCGGGGAAGGAGGATTGATGAAGGGAGAGGAAGAAGCACGAAAGGGGAAGGAGGATTGATGAAGGGAGAGGAAGAAGCACGAAAGGGGAAGGGTTGCTGTCACTGGGGCAGGAATGTTGCACATGCTATCGTGTTGAGGGCATGAGGGTTGAGCTAGAAAAGATGGAGGAATGGGGAAATGGGGACAAGGAGGGAGGAAGAAGCACGAGGATATGCTAGTGCGACACAAAAGTGATTTCGATGGGGACAAGGAGGGAGGAAGAAGCACAACAAGGAGAATGCTAGTGCGACACAGGCTCCTCCCAGCCCTCTCAGATTCAGCTTGAGAATCTCAAGCGCCTCTCTAAAAGAATGCTAGTGCGACACAGGCTCATCCCAGCCTTTTGAGGCGCCTCAAAGGAATGCTAGTGCGACACAGGCTCCTCCCAGCCTTTTGAGGCGCCTCAAAAGAATGCTAGTGCGACACAGGCTCATCCTAGCCCTCTCAGATTCAGCTTGAGAATCTCAAGGTGCCTCTAACCTTTCAAGTACTGAGTCGACTCAAAAACAGAATCTCGCGCTCCTCTAGATTCTTTTGAGGCGCCTCAGAGCCAGCCTCAATCCCCTCCCCCAGCCTCAATACTCTCCCCCAGCCTCAATACTCTCCCTCACCTGCTTTCAGTGTGCAGCACCGTCTCAATGTTCTCTTGCAACGATCTCACACCCAGCTTCAGCATCTGAAGTGCCTCCATCACGTCATGCCGCATGCCCCTGCCACCACCACCTCCACCAGACCCTATCCCTCCCCCCCCTCCTCCTGCTCTTGCTGCTGCTCCTGCTCCTGACCTTCCTTTCCCCGCTTTCACTAAAGTCACGCCCTTCATAATTTCAACAGTAGCACTGCTGTTTGTCTGCAATTTGTCTGCTGTCACATCCTTTATAATCACTTCCGTGCCCTTTGCGTTACTAGCTCCCCCTAAACCAGCCATTTCCTCTCCTCTCGAACTCACTCTCACTAACTCTCCCACTCCATCCCCCTCCTCTTCCCCCTCCTCTTCCCCCTCCTTTTCCCACTCCTTCACCCCCTCCTCCTCCTTCCGCTCCTTCATCTCCTTCCACTTTGCATCAATCTCTTTCTCCTTCCTCGCAACATCCCACTCCCGCTTCTCAACTGCCGCTATTCTCTTTATCACCTCCTCCTCCCACGCTTGCACCTCTGCCTGCTGCCGCTGCAACGCCGTCATCTGTGCTTCCAACGTCCCCATCACCCCGTCACTTTCCCCCTTTCCCTGCTCCAGTGCTGCCCTATCCTTCCCTCCATCTCCTCCTCCCTCCCCATGTATAGGCCCCTCTCCCTGCCCCTCTCTCCCTCCCTGCTCTTTGCCCTTCTCCTGCCCTTTATCAACCCCACTGTCCCCTCTCTCTTCCCCATCCTCCATCCCATTGGCCCCAGCCACTCCTCGCCTTTGCCCCATGCCCCCATCCTCCCTCACACGCCCTGCTTCTCTGTCTTCTTGACCCCACTCCTCCTTGATTTCCCCCCTGCTTCCTCCCACCAATTGCTGCCCTGAATTGCCACGTGGCGTCATCTGATTGATGCAGTGGAATCGTGAATGAATCAGGGCAAGGGAGTTAAGGGAGAAGAGAAGGACGAAAAGGAAGGGGAGATGACGTGCAAAGAAAGGGAGGTATAAGAAGAGAAGAAAGAAAATGAGACGGAAGGTTGGAAGCAGAATAGCAAGAGGGAGAAGCATAGCGGTTAGGGCGAGAAGCTAGCGGGCGGAAGGGCAAGCCAGGGAGAGGAGACAGATCAGTGAGAGAAGGGAGAGGGAGGAGAAAAGAGAGGGCAAAGAGAGGACGGAAAGGAGGGAACGGAGGGAGAGGCGAAAGAAAGGAAGGCGAGGGGGGAGAGAACGGAGGGGAAGGAGACATGAAGAAAGACGACCTCCTGCAGCTTGCGAGGCGATGAGAGGGTAGAGCCAGAGGCAGAGGGCGGAGAGAGCAGCAGGCGGTGGGTGGCAGAATACAGGTAAAACGTCCACGTCAGCAGGCCCAGGGCCACGACAAACACCGCCGCCCAGGATGACGTCACTGCCGCCCAGCGCTGCCGCCTGGAGGACCGGCGGCGAGAGGGCTTCTTGGAAGGTGCTGCTGATGGAGGGTTGGGGGGAAGTTGTCGCGTTTACCTTTTAACAATTGGGCAATTTGGAAGTAAAACAAGCTGCGACCCTAAACACCTCCGAACCATTGACGACCGGGTTGTGGGCAAACCGGGGGCAATCAAGATGCCTTTTTTGAGTCGAATATAAAAATCGAATTGGCTGGAACATCAATGGAAGAAACTCGCCTGCCACTCTTGTAGTAGATTCCGCCATTCTGGTTGAATATTGAGAATTCTCCGTCATTCTAAAATAATTCCGAAAACGATCAGCTGTAACACAGGGCTGATTGGGATTTTCGCCGGTGATACTGACTCCTTTCACATCCCAGTAGCCTGGAGATCATCGGCTACGTGTCTCACTGCCATTCGTTGCATAGTGAAGATCGTAGCGATGGGTTTCTTGATTTGACGTAATCTGTTGCGTCAGTAATCGTTGACATAGCCTGCTAGCAAGACATCCATTGCTCATCGAATACTAAGTGTACGAAACCATTGCAATCGTTGACATAGCCTGCTAACAAGACATCCATTGCTCATCGAATACTAAGTGTACGAAACCATTGCAATCGATGACATAGCCTAACTACGGGTGTAACTTCGCGCGTATTCCTAGCAGGCGTTGAGGTTGCAGGCGTCGTCCGCGTTTCACGGACGAAAGATGATGGTTTTTTTGTCCGCGACGAACCCGTGCAAGATGTCGCATAATTAACGCTTCGAGATTCGAACACGGAATCTTTCTCGATAGCTCCCAGCCGCAGATGAGAACTCCGCCTCTCTGCACCACTCGCATCGTACTCTGCACAAACGCGTTCTAAATGTGAAGTCGTTTCCATGAAGTAATTTCGTTCTTGGTAACCATCACGCAATAAAAATGTGGAATAACATAACAAACATGCTCACGCCTCCGTGTTGGCAAACCGGAAGTCTGTAGAAAACAGGTATCTGGATATGCAAATTATGTTTCATTAGTTACATATGTATATGGATGGGGGCCGGAAGGAAGGTGGTTGCTTAATATCAATATAGTTCATTTATTGCACCACCAGCAACCCTCAAAACTTTGCACTAGCGGTAACATTTGCACTAACGGTAGCATTTCCACCCGTGTTGACAATACCACCCGCGGTATCATTTGTGCCTGCAGTAGCATTTGCAGCAGCCGTGGCATTAGTCGCCTTGTGAATGTGTTGCAAGGAAAACCTCACCCATCATAATGTTCCCTCCGAGCATCTTGTCACCACCACCATCACCATCACCCTCCCCCATGGCCTCATTATGTGTCAGCACATTCACCTCATGCTCACCCCAGCCTCCAACTCCCTCGCTTCCTCACTCTCCTTCCCTTCCTCCCCTCCCTCTTCTCCCTCTCCTCCTCCTTTTACCCCCACTCCTCTTCCATGTCCCTTTCGTTCCCTTCTCTCCTCACTCCCTTGCCTCCTCCTTCATTCAACAGCGGCGGCACGAGAGCCTCTAGCTGCCTGACACGTGTCTTCACCTCAGCCACACGTTTCCTGAGCCGCTTCCTCTCCTTGTGAACCGCCTGGGCTGAAATGACCGTCCATGCCACCTGCATGCGCTGCCGCAGCCACACTCCCATGGGCTACGGAGGACAGGAGGGCAAGGGAGCGAGGGGGAAGGGAGCGGCGGGAGGTGGGAGGTGGGAAGGGAGAGGTGGGAGGTGGGGAGGGGGAGGTGGGAGGGGAGGGCAAGGGATGGGAGGAGGAGGAAAGGGAAGAGTGGGGCGAGTGGGGTGGAAGATGTAGAGGGGCGGTGGGGACGCAAGTGGGTAAGAAGGCAGGCAGGTGTAAGAGCATGAGAACACTCCGTTCTGAAATCACTCCCCTCAGTTTGCTCATCCCTCCCCTGTGCCAGCTCATCCTCACCTTTGCCAGCTCATCCATCACCTTTGCCAGCTCATCTTTCACCTTTGCCAGCTCATCCCTCACCTTTGCCAGCTCATCCCTCACCTTTGCCAGCTCATCCCTCACCTTTGCCAGCTCATCCCTCCCCTGTGCCAGCTCATCCCTCACCTTTGCTGACTCATCCTTCACGAGCCCATCCCCATACTCGCTCATCATCGTGACATCAATCCTGTAATCCGGGGTATTGTCCGAAATCACCCCGGCGCGGTCCCCCCAGTAGTGGTTCAGCCTCAGCACCCCCGTATCAACCAATGGCGGCCGGCCATTCTCCATCATAGGCCACTGGTGGGGGCTGATGAAAACATCACCACTGAGGTGCACAGCGAGGGGCAGCCATGCAATGGGCTTAGTGCGGAGGCGCCCGGAGGAGGTGGGCATGCGGTGGGTGTAGTGCTCTAGCAGTGTGTTGGTGTCTGAGCCGATTGGATCCCCAAGGAAGAACATGTTTTGAACCAGCACCTGTGAATGAGAGAACAGGAACGGGGGAAAGCAGGTGGTGCTGAGACGATGTGGGCATACGCAGGGTGTAGCGCTCCAGCAGTGTGTTGGTGTGAGAGCCTATTGGATCTCCAAGGAAGAACATGTTTTGAACCAGCTGTCGCGTTATTAACACTTAGCTGGCAACTAAGTGTGAATTCCACAGCAGCCAAGGTGAGGTGTACTATAGTTTACTGCTTTTTGCATTTTACTTTGTTTGCTCTTTTTGGAATGTTACTGTACTATACAGAGTCAAGCTACTGAGGAGTTCGAGGGGGTTGGTGAGGAGGATGAGGGCGAATTCGATTCTAGCCAGCCTGGGAATTCAATTCGACATTCACAGGCTGGAAGGCGGTGCATGCCTAGTGGGCCCGGTGGGACCCAGCTAGCACCTTGAAGCCTACGCGATCAGCTCGGCTGACTCGCGCTTAGAAGTAGAGGTAGCTTGCGGGACAAGGCACCTAGGCAGGAGAGGATGTAGTCGGAAGTAGCACTCGGACTCATTGCTTTTTGCTTGTATGTTTCTCATTTACTGCAATTGTGATTTCCTAATCCACGGGGAACTAGCAGTAGAGAGGAGCTGAAGCAAATCGGCGGAGCCCTTGCGAGGGAGTTAAGTCTTGTTTCTGGGAAGCCTGAGATACGAGGAGGGGATCAGAACAGAGTGATTACATACGTCAGGAGGAAGAAGGGATGAGCCGGTCACCTGGATGAGAGGCGGAGGGAGAGGGAGGAGGAAGTCAGGCAGGGATTCAAGGGAGAGTGAGAAGGAGGGGACAGCAGAGGGGGATTCACGACACAGCACCTGTGAGGGAGAGATGTGAAGGTAAACAGGAAGGGGCAAGGAAACAGGTAGAGTGAGGCATGCGCAAGGTGTAGCGCTCTAGCAGCGTGTCGGTGTGAGAGCCTATTGGATCCCCCAGGATAAACATGTTCTGGACCAGAACCTGTATGCGTGGGAAGGGGAAGGGGAAGAAAGGGGTGAAGAGAGAGGATCTGAGAGGAGTTGGGATGCGTTGGGATGCGTTGGGATGCGCTGGGATGCGCTGGGATGCGCTGGGATGCGCTGGGATGCGCTGGGATGCGCTGGGATGCGTGTCAGAGGCTATTCGATCCCCAAGGAAGAACATGCTCTGGAGCAGAACCTGAGGGGGTATGAGGGGAGGGAAGGGGAGAGGGAGAGGAGGAGAGGAGGGATCAGTGTTGCACTTGAAAGGCGTCGCCCATAAGGTGTGCGGCGAGGGGCAGCCATGAATGGGTTTGGTGTGGTGGCGTTCGGCCGGAGGAGTCGAGCATGCGGAACGTGTAGCTCACGCGCTCACGAGCTCACGCGCTCACGCGCTCACGTGCTCACGCGCTCACGCGCTCACGTGCTCACGCGCTCACGTGCTCACGGGCTCACGCGCTCACGCGCTCACGCGCTCACGTGCTCACGCGCTCACGTGCTCACGCGCTCACGTGCTCACCTACGTAGGCCGAAAATATATGCACCTGGTGGTGTTGCAGCCAGCAACAACGAAAACCACCCACCTGTACTGTTGTGTTTGGCAGCTTCTGCAGGTAGTGACGAAGAAAGCCGGGCGGCGTGCCGGCCGGGGAAAAGAAATACTCGTCGATATCTGTGTGGAAAGCCCAGTGCACCTCCGATGCATAGTGCTGGGAGGAAGAAGGGAAGGGAAGAGCGAGAGGGAGGAAGGAGAGAGGAGATCTCTGATGTGGAAGAAGGGAAAGGTTGTCGATATCGGTGTGGAAAGCCCAGTGCACCTCCGATGCATAGTGCTGGGAGGATGGGGCGGGAGACGGGGAGAGGAATGGGAAAAGGAGAGGGGAGGGAGAAGGGGAGGAGGAGAGAGAAATATTTGTCGATATCGGTGTGGAAAGCACCTCCGAAGCAGCCCCCTGCTTGCATCGGAACAGCCTCCCAAGATACCTCGTGAAGTTGAAACAGCATGTCAGACACATTCACTCAACAGTTCTCACACCTCTCATCACCCTCCCTCCCCCCTCCCCACCTGCACCCAGTGGTGGTAAGCTGCCCCCAGCTTGCATCGGAACAGCCTCCCAAGATAACTCGTGAAGTTGAATTGAAACAGCATGCTTTACACATTCACTCAACGCCTCTCCCTCTTCTCATAACCATCCCCCCTCCCCACCTGCAACCAGTGGTTGTAAGCAGCCCCCTGCTTGAACCGGAACAGCCTCTCCAGGTGGGCAGTGACGTTGCCCTTCGCAAATGGCAGCTCGCGCACAGGAATGGCGAGATGTGACTCGCAACTTTGCAGTGGCTGAATGTGGCACCCTGCTTGCATCTCAAGCTCCTCCCCAGATTCGCCAGATCCTGACAAGTAACAGGCTGACTTGTTACATCTAACCCCCCCCCCCCTCCACCTGCACCCAGTGGTTGAATGCGGCACCCTGCTGGCATCGGAACATCCTTTCCAGGTACGCTGTGAAATAGGTATCAGAACTGGTGACTTACAAGGTCATGTCGAAAAACACATCATCTGTGGCATCCCATGGCTTGCCTTCTCCTTCCTGCACTCACCCTCCCTCCCTTCTTCTTCCAAGCTCTGTTCCTGTGATACCTTACCTGCTCCGCCTCAGCCTGCTCTGCTGGCTTTGCTTTCCTGCCCCCTTGCTGCTGTCGCTGCTCATATCTGTGGGCATCTCTCAGCTGCGCCGTGTGCAAGTTCTCCAAGGCTGCCGGGAGCATTTCCTGCATGTATCGTGCTCGTGTTTCTGCCAGCGCCACCCATTGTTCTGCTCCCTTCACGGTCAACTTTTGAGTCGACTCAAGAGTCAGCATTTTTTAGTCGACTCAAAAGTCAGCATTTTTTAGTCGGCTCAAAAGTCAGCATTTTTTAGTCGACTCAAAAGTCAGCATTTTTTAGTCGACTCAAAAGTCAGCATTTTTTAGTCGACTCAAAAGTCAGCATTTCCCGCATGTATCGTGCTCGTGTTTCTGCCATCGCCACCCATTGTTCTGCTCCCTTCACGCTCACCACCCCCGTCAGTACCCTTGGTGCTCCCACAGGAAGTATTGGTTCCTTTCCATACAGCAGGCTATACGGGGAGTAGTCCTTTAGTGATGCCTGCTTCCCGAACCTGTACCATGCTTTTGAGTCGACTCAAAAGCATGCCTGCTTCCCGAACCTGTACCATGCTTTTGAGTCGACTCAAAAGCATGCCTGCTTCCCGAACCTGTACCATGCTTTTGAGTCGACTCAAAAGCATGCCTGCTTCCCGAACATGTACCATGCTTTTGAGTCGACTCAAAAGCATGCCTGCTTCCCGAACCTGTACCATGCTTTTGAGTCGACTCAAAAGCATGCCTGCTTCCCGTGTTGTAATTTCATATCTCATACAACATACATAGGCTAGAAGTGTAGCACATTTATAAATTGGGGGGTTGCTTAGTGTACCCTCCAACCACATTTTGTGGTTGGTTGGGATTGGTCCTTAGCTCAACCAATCCCAACCAACACACATTTGTGGTTGCTTGGGTCACAAGCAAGCTCACCCATTGGCCAACTTATTGGCCAATAGGGTAAGCTTCCCTCTCATCTCTCTCTTGCTCATTGTTTGTACTAAAGAGCCTCTTGGCTCATTATTCAATGTATCAATTCTCTCTCTTCTAACATGGTATCATGAGCTAATGGCTCACGCCTACCTCCCTCGGTCCTTAGGCCACCCTCTCCTCCCCGTTCCTCAGATCTACCCCCACCCACGGAGCTGTCCTCCCTTCACGCGCCCTTTAGGCGCTGTCCTCCCTCCCCGTGCGCCCCCTAAGGCGCTGCCCTCCAAGGCACGCTCAGATCTGCAACTCCAGCGCCCAGATCTGCACTCCCCGCGCTCAGATCTGCAACTCCAGCGCCCAGATCTGCACTCCCTGCGACCAGATCTACTCCTCCCGCGCCTAGATCTGATCATTCCGCGCCCAGATCTGGATTCCGCGCGCCCAGATCTGCACTCCGCCCGCCCAGATCCGCCCTCCGCGCGCTCAGATCTGCCCTCCGCGCGACCAGATCTGCACTCCGCGCGACCAGATCTGCACTCCGCGTGACCAGATCTGCACTCCGCGCGACCAGATCTGCACTCCGCGCGACCAGATCTGCACCCCGCGCGACCACATCTGTACTTCGCGCGCCCAGATCTGCCCTCCGCGCGCCCAGATCTGCACTCCGCGCGACCAGATCTGCACTCTGCGCGACCAGATCTGCACTCTGCGCGACCACATCTGCACTTCGCGCGCCCAGATCTGCCCTCCGCCCAGATCTGCACCCCGCGCAACCAGATCTGCACTCCGCGCGACCAGATCTGCCCTCCGCGCGACCAGATCTGCCCTCCGCGCGACCAGATCTGCCCTCCGCGCGACCAGATCTGCATCTCCCGCGCTGAAATCTGACCATTTCGCGCCCATCTCTGCACGTCCCGCTCGTTTGCCGCAGGCTGTCCCGCGTGCATTCGCCACGGGCTTCCCAGTCGCGCGGATCTGCCGCACGGCTGCCCTCTTCGTCCCCTCCCCTCCCCTCTCTCCCTTCCTCCTCCCATTGTACCCGCAGCAGCACCACCAGCAGCACCCTCCCCCCATTCCTCCCCCATAGCATCGCCCTCCTCCTCCTCCACCCAACCCACCCTCCGCTCCTCCCTTCCTCCTCCCATCCTACCTGCAGCAGCACCAGCAGCAGCACCTGCAGCGGCACCACCAGCAGCACCCTTCCCCCTTGCATCCCCCATAGCATCGCCCTCCTCCTCCTCCACCTTCCCCACCCTCCGCTCCTCCCTTCCTCCTCCCATCCTACCCGCAGCAGCATCCGCAGCGGCACCAGCTGCAGAACCAGCAGCCGCACGGGCAGCAGGGCCAGCAGCAGCATTGGCAACGGTACCCTCGCACCATCCTCCTCCTGCCCTAGCCTCTACCCACCCTCATCTCTATGGCATCGTCGTCCGATTCTTCCGTCGACCTTGCCACTGTTGACGCACTCGAGTTGCTGCCTGACAACTCTGCTGCTAATTGGCACTCTTATGCTCATTCCGTTGAGGTGCTCCTCTCCTCTGTTGTGGTCAGCGGCTACAACCTTCGCTCGGTTGTCTTTTAGGAAGGCGGTGGACTTCAGCCCGTGGCCCCCACCGCTCCTACTGGACCTGCCCCCGCCCACCCTGGCGCCGAGCCCTCTCCCCCCGGTGATCCTCCCACCTTCGCGCCGAATGTCAACGACCCGCAGAGCTCGGAAACCGCCATTCGCACCTACCGCACCAATCTCCAAGAGCACCTGCGCCTGCAATTGCGTTACGAGGACGACAGGCGCATCCATGACGAGGCCGCTGCCCGCTACAGCACGTACCAGGAGGACCTGGACACCTACACTGCAGAACTTGCAGACTACACCACGAAAATTAATGCCTGGCGGGTTGCTCATCGGCGTGCGCTTGCCATTCTTCTCGCCACCATCCCCTCCTCCCTCAAACGCGAGTTCTCACCTACCTCCTCCTCCCACCTGTGGCGACTGCTAGTCGACCTTTTCGATCGGCAGGACGTTGCCACTCTTTACGCCCTTATCAAGGAGTTTGGAACTCTCTCCATGGATTCCACTTCTGGCGCAGCTGCTTTCACTCGCCGTGTCTTAGACCTTGCTCGGCGCCTTGCAACACTCAATGTGGTGTACCCGGACACCGTCATCTGCTGCCACCTCCTCGAGGGCCTCACACCTGCCTTCGACGCTCACAAGCTTGCTTACATGCAGCTTATCTCCAAGCACCACACCCCTGCCGAAGTCGCTCAGTGGATTATCACCACCGAAGCTGAGATCCTTCGCCACTCTTCCTCCACAGCCGCAGCAGCCCAGTCGCGCAGCAGCCGGGGTGGACGTGGCGGTGGGCGTGGGGGTGGGCGTGGTGGTGGGCGTGGGGGTGGACGAGGGGGATCAGCAGGTCGCGGTGGTGCTGGCAGCAGTGGTGCGGGTCGTGGTACGGCAGCTGCCTTTCCTCCCTGTCAGTACCTGCCTCGCTACGGTCCCACAGCGCTGCGGCCAAACCACCCATGCCACTGAGACGTGCTTCAAGGCACTCAGTGATGAGTGGTTTGCCCGTGGCAACACCGGCACCCCTCCTCGCTGGTCCGCCCTCAACCCTCACCCCACTCCCCTTGAGGTCCGTTCCTCTCCTTTATGAACCTCCCTCCTCCACCCACGCCCACCAAGCCCTCGCCCCTCCCCAGCAGCAGCACCAGCAGCAGCAACAGCAGCAGCAGCTTGGGAATCAGCAGCAGGGGTCACAACAGTATGGGCAGCAGCTTCTCCTCTCTCAGCTCCAGCAGCAGCTCCAGCATCTCCAGCAGCAGCTCGACCTCCAGCCGCAACTGCCCCTCCTCCCTCCTCCTCCGGTTTCCCAGCAGCAGCCCTTTCCTACCTGGACTGCTGGGAGTGCTGCCTCTGCAGCCCATCTCTCGGGTGCGTCCCCGGCGCCGTCTGCAGGTGGCAATGTGACCGCTTTCCCTTCCTCTGGTTTTGTTGGTTTATTAGGTCAACCTGAATCTGTTGCATCTCCCATGTACCCTTCTTCTGCTAATGAAACTTCGTTCCAGTACTCTGCCTCACCTTCCTCCACCATTGACTTCGTTCTGGACAGTGGAGCCACTGACACTGTCCTTCGCGACGCTGGTACACTGCGCCCTCTCCCCACACCAACCTCCCTCCTCGGCGCTGATAGCCGTTTTTCCATCCCTTGTCACAACACCTCCACCTTTCCCTGTCCTCTCTTTCCCTCAGGTACTGTCACCGGTCTCCACATTCCCTCCCTTCGTACTAACCTCCTCTCCCAAAGGTCCCTCCAACAAGCCATGATCACCACTCTCATCCCAGGTGGTGCTAACCATTGTGACCTATACCAAACCTCCACAGGTCGTTTTCTCGCCCGTATTCCCTATTGTCCTCGCTCCCGTCTGTACACCCTTCGGGTTCCCCGCCCCCTCACCTTCCAAGTTGCCTCCCCCCCCCCTCCTTCCCCCCCCCCCCCTCCCCTCCCTCCCACTAACCCACCCCTCCCCCCCCGCCCTCCTGACTCTGACTGTTCCTGTCGCTCCCTCTCCCACCCCACCATCCTCCTCCATCACAGGCTAGGCCACCCCAATTTCGCTACTCTGCGCTCCTCTGTCTCCTCCGGTCTCCTCCACGGTCTCCCCTCCTCCCTCCCTCCCCTCCCCAAATCCCCTGCCCCCCCCTGCACCGTCTGCGTTCAGAGCAAGCTCAAGCAGCAGCCGCACCGGAGCTCCCCCTCCGTTGCTACGCAGCCACTTGATCTTGTTCACATGGACCTATGGGGCCCTAATCCCTCTCCCACTCGCCAGGGCCATCGCTACCTTCTCGTGCTTGTTGATGATCACAGTCGGTACTCGTCCGTCTCTCTCCTTCGGACGAAGGCGGATGCCCCGGCTGCGATCATCGCCTGGCTCGAGCGGGCAAACACCCATTTTGGGCGCCCTGTTTGCCGCCTTCACTCTGATGGAGGTGGTGAGTTCCTTAACAACCAAGTCTCCTCCTATTGTCAGTCTCGTGGCATCCTTCAGACTTACACCCTCCCTCACTCCCCACTGCAGAACGGCGTGTGTCACCGAATATGTACGTTTGTGCATATAGGGTGCCAGTATGATTGTGGTGTAGAAAGGGTGTAGTAATGTGTTGTATTTGTTGTATGCAGGCTCAAGGATGGGTAGGTGGGAGGCTGGGAAATTGACGCGAAGTTGGTAGGAGAACACCAGGGGGTGAAATCCTCGCGACCAATGGGAACAAACCCAACCCAGGCTCAAGCCGCACATTGAGAAATGCACGGCTCGAGCCAGGGACAGGTAAGTTCACTCTCACACACACACACAATGCTTTCTGTTTGTTATCCTTTCGTATAGTGGACAGTTGTTACCTCAGATTTGCCTACAGGTGGCACACCACTCAGAGAGGACCTTTGAGGTGAGAGTTACCACTCTTTCATAACAAACAGAAAGGTGCGCGTGCAAGCATGGATGTGCACGAGTTGCGTTATGGCAGGAAGTACGATCGTCGTGAGGGTGATCGCTCGCGGCGGGAGCGCTCACGAGAGCGCGGGCGTTCGCTAGAGAGGTCGCCGCGGAGGCCTGACCGCTCGCCGCGGAGGCCTGAGCGCTCGCCGCGGAGGCCGGCTTTTCGCGCCGATCTGGTCCCTCTCGCGCCAGATCGCCGTGAAGAAGGTGCAGAGCGCGAAGGAAGAGGCGGATCCGAGTCCGTCAGGATGGGAAGTGACCCGTGGCGGACGGATACGCACCACGGGGCTGGTGGCGAATGCGGACATCGCCACGACACGGGAGCGTATCGCTCGCCGGACGAAGGTTACCGCCGTCGCGAAGATCGCAGTCGCGGGCGTGGCCTGGAGGAGCTATTCTCTGGTCGGCAAGGAGATCTCGATGTGGATGGGGAGGGCGAGGTCGATATGGCGGAGAAGCCGCACGAAATGGATCTCGAGAGTGAAGCGAAGGGCGATGACGAGGCCCATGAGGAAGGCGCGGGCGAGCAGCGCGATATGCACGCCGAAGTCAAGGAAGCCAGTCCGATGCTGGCGAGCGAGGAGGCTGCGCCAGGCGCGGCAGAAATAGGCGGGAAGGATGGTGCGCGGAACCAGACGCGTGGTGAAGAAGGCAACGACGACAGGAGGCGTAGCCGTGGATCGCGCTCGCCGACCCCCCATCAGCACCACGACCAGAATCATGGTGGCGAGAGGCATGCGTCAGATCCGCGGCTGCAGCAAGACAAGAGGCGCGACGGCGGGCATCGCTCGCCAGATCCGCGGCTGCAGCGTGACGAGAGGCGCGGCGGCGACCATCGCTCGCCAGATCCGCGGCGGCAGCGTGACGAGAGGCGTGGCGGCGACCATCGCTCGCCAGATCCGCGGCTGCAGCGTGACGAGAGGCGCGGCGGCGACCATCGCTCGCCAGATCCGCGGCTGCGGCGTGACGAGAGGCGCGGCGGCGGCTACCGCTCGCCAGATCCGCGGCGGCAGCGCGAGGACAGACGTGACGGCGGCAACCGCTCGCCAGATTCGCGGCAGCAGCGTGAGGACAGGCGCGACGGCGGCTACCGCTCGACTGATGTGCGGCAGTGGCACGACGAAATGCGCGGAAGTGGTCACCACTTGCCAGATCCACGGCAGCGTCGTGGGGAGGAGCGCGGAGACAGCACGCGTTCACCAGATCCGCGGAGGTATCACGGCGGGAGGAGCGAGAGGGGCTCACGCTCACCAGATCTGCAGCGCTATCATGATGGGAGGAGCAGAGATGTCCAGCGCTCGCCTGACGCGCAACGATATCCTGGAGGAGGGTGGAGAGGCGAGGCGCGCTCGCCGGATTGGCGGCAGCAGCTTGAGGAGAGTCACGGGGGCAGACATCGCTCGCCACCGCGGCAGCGGAGCAGGGATATAAGGCAAAGCGGTGGGGCACGTTCGCCAGAGCGTTATCGGCAACATGACGAGAGGCGTGCCGGCGAAGGAGGACAAGATCTGCGCAGCAGCAGAGTGGGAGGCAGCGGGCTGATGGACAGCCTGGAGCGAGCCAGAGAGGCGAGGGAGGGAATACGGCGGGCGGGAGAGAGGGGAACGGCAGGCAGGACAGCAGAGAGATATAGAGAGGCGTGGGGAGAAGGAAAGGGAAGTACAGCCATGGTCACAAGGGTGGAAGTACCAGCACGCTTCTCTGGGGACCAGCGATTGGGGCCCACACTGAAGAATTATCTCATGCAAGTGGGCAACGTGCGGTACAGATGCGAGAGGGGCGGCATGGATGCAGTGGACTTCTTTCTGAGCCTGCCAAACACACTGGAGGGGGAGGCAGAAACGTTATACAGGATGAAGATGAATGAGCTACTGGAGAGGGCAGGAAGGTATGGGGAGGACCCAACCGAAGAATTTCTGAGGCGGCTGAAGCGGCAGTTCCCAGGCCACACTGCAGAGAAGATCAGAGAGTTTCAAGACTTTAGGAAGGGGCGGGGAGAGTCACTACTCACCTACTACAATCGGCTGGTCAACATAGCGGAGGACGTGAGCTGTGCGGACATGGGCCTGCTTGTGAGCAAGTTCCTGGACGGCCTGGAGGGTACCTTGGGAAGCGGGCTGAGGCTGAAAGTATATGAGATGGGGGCTGAAGTGACACTTGATGAAGTGTTTGAGCTAGCTGAGAAGATGGAGATGGCCCAGAGGAAGCTTGAAGCCTACCGGCAACGACCAGCGGAGCGTGGCAGAGGACCTACATGGGCAGCAGCCATGATACCAGAGGAAAAGGAAAGGGCAGGGGGAAGAGGGGATAGCAGGACTGACGCACGAACGTGCCACCGATGCGGGCAGCCAGGGCACCTGCGCAGAGACTGCAAGAACTGCGACTCCTGTGGTAAGCCAGGGCACCGGCGGCGGGAATGCCCAACAGCTCCGAAGTGCGAAATCTGTGGGAAGGGAGGGCATGCAGCAAGGGAGTGTTATCAGCGGGAAGGAGCGGCGAAGAGGACACCAGAGGACCTGGAAAAGCAGATTGGCAGGCTGCAGGCTCAGCTGCAGGCAATGGGACCACGACGCGAGGCAGAAGCGGGGATGTACGCGGGGAAGGAAAAGGAAGAGGATGTAGAGCAAGATGAGGAGGCCGCTTTCATGAGCTGGGCAGGCAAAGCGAAGGATGAGGTGGAACACGAGGAGCAGCCAGCATACATGGCATGGAGAGGAAGGGAGGAGATGGGGCTACGCAGCGGAGGAAAGGATGCACGGAAGGACCAGGTAAGGAAGGAGCGAGAGAGAGGACAGAAACCGGAGGAGAAGGAAGAGAGGTGTACAGCGGCACGGCATCCACAGGAGCGGCTGGCGTGCCAGACTTCAGTGCTGCTGATACAAGGAGGTGCGCTGTCAGTGGAAGGGGAGAAGGCGAAGACGGCTATTATAGACACGGGCGCGCAGAGCGTGATACTAGGGAGGGGAATGGCAGAAAAACTGGGACTGTGGGCGCCGGACAGACATGTAGTGAAGGGAATGCTGGTGATGACAGCAGAGG